GTGTATGTGTGTGTGTGTGTGTGTGTGTGTGTGTGTGTGCGCGACTTCCAAAATGGCAAGGCGGCTGAGGAGACGAGTTTGAGCGCTGCTGGGAAAAAGAGTGGGCCCAACCAAATTGCGCCTGCGAACTTCACGAACGGAAACAGACGTGCGGAGGTGCATGTGTGCTATCGCAGCAAGTTGCAGCAAGCCGTGGCTGGAATATGTGGTTGCCGGGCTGTGGGTTGCACGTTTTTGTGGACTGAATCTACGAGAGTGGCAGTTTATATTTCCATGTTTTAGCGAAAGAGTTATTCGATTTTGCTCATCCTATCGATGGAAGTAGCGTGAGGCCAGCCGCCAGCTGCAGAATTGCCTGTATGAAGAGAGAACAATTTGATCCATCATCACCTAGAGCCACAAGATTTCAAGTTGAGTTTGTGCTGAGCTGAGGGCACACCAGGAAGTGGTGATAGGATAAGGAGTCCTTCTGGAGACCACTTGTTCTGCATGAATGACATGATTGAGAGGGGGTTGGATGAGAGGTAAATTTGTTCGGTCAAGGTGACTGATCTATGCTCCGCAGTCAACATCTCAAGGCAAGTTACAAAGTGGGTGCGTTTGCTGGCAGCATTAGTGCTCTGACGGAGGGGCGGGTCATCCTGCAGTTGAAGTATCTGGCAATGGTCTGTGGACGTTGGTACACTGATGTTTTACAGACTGTCGGGCGACCAAGAAAACACAGAGTCAGACAAAACTCGTTCAATACCACCGATCATGGCTCGGCATCCTCTGCATCCAACACAAGAGGGAGTTGCAAGCGCAAAAGGTTTATGTGTCATGGGGCTGGTTTAAGAGATGAATGACCGCAGATGAAGGCATCATCTTTGTCAGGGTTGTCGACGATGGCTGAAAGAGGCATGATAAAGTTGATGGAAGAGGCTTCTAATCAAGACCTTCAAGAGTCCGACCGCAACAAAGTCACTGAAGAGGAAACAAAGGAAAAAATGCGGGTGGTGGTCAGAGTTAGGCCCCCAATGAAGGTGATATTCCCCTCTGGCGTAGATGCAGTATCTGACTCATCTTTTAGGGAGAGCATGGATGAGGATAGGGGTGAGGAAATCTGCGTACATATTGAGGAAGACAATGTATTAAGGCTCGATGCACCTCAGTTATCTACAACATGGCGAAACAACGTTAGAGAGAGTCAATTTGTTTCCTATGAATCGACTCCAGTCCTTGGCACGTCAACATCACAGGTGGAGGCATTCAAAGCTACTGTGGAACCACTCGTACAGAGGTTGTTTGAAAACTTCGAGAGTGGGGTGCTTTTGTCGTATGGGGTCATAAATGCTAGGAAGTCCTATACAATATTTGAGAGTCAGGATGAGACTCAGCCTGGGTTGATCCCTTGCACTCTCCACACAATTTTTCACTCGCTGCATAAGAAGAAAAAGGAATCTGAAGTCAATGAAAATCTTGTTGTAAAGATTTTCATGCGTGAATTAACTATGGAGAATAAGAACGATAACAAAGTGAAGGACTTGCTAAGTCCTGCCTGTGCAGCCAAGTTCAAGATTTGTGAGTCCAAGAGGACTAGACACATGCGTATTTCTAGGATCCAGGAGGAGAGAGTGGACAATATCAAAGAGGCATTGGAAACACTAAGGAAGGGCTATACCAATTGAAAAGTGGAAGAAACGGGAGCCAATAAGTCCTCAAGTCGATGCCACTATGTTGTCAGTGTCCAGCTCTGCCCAGAGCAGTTGCCCAGCGAACATCAACAACCAACCATTGATAGGAAGAGTAAGAGATGAAAGCAGGTGATAACGTTAGCATCTCAAGTGACTGCACCTGGGGCAACTTCAGGGTTGGAGGAAACTTTTGCTCGCATTTGCTTTGTCGACCTTGCTGGAAGTGGGCGTGAGAGTAGTGTCATTAATTCATCACTCATGTCGCTTAGGCAATGTTTGGAGGAGCTTTCTAAGAATCAACGTGTCAACTTTTGACGAAGTAAGCTGACACAGTTTCTTAAGAATGAGCTTCAAGGTCAAGGCCGCCTTGTTGTGGAGTTGCATTCTACAGCCTCTGGTGAATATCTTTAAATTGCCTCTGCCGAAGGAACAGTCTGGAATGTCATGTTTAGGGTTCCCAACCAAAGAAACGTCGACTCTCAGGATTCTGAAACTTGCTTAAACGAGTGCAGTGCCAACAGAGAGAGTGAAAGTCACCAGAGCATAGAAAGCCAGAAAGAAAAAGATGGTGGAAGCTGGAAAGGCAGGCAAGCAGCCTTCTCGGATAGCAAATGGCTATGGCAGTGCCAAATGTGCAAATGCCCTGGGTGGTGAAAAACAAAGCAGTAAATAGGAGTACCTCCCTTAGAGGAAGCGTCATATGAGCTTACTGATGGAGGCAGTGGATACCAATGGCATAACTGAGGTTGCCATTGCTCAAAAACAAGGTACAGGGCTCGGTGGAGGAAGTGAAATTGAGCGGAAAAGGAAAGCAAAATCCTCCACTCAAGATCTTAAACTTCTCGAAGAAAAGGTTGCAAACCCGAAGCTTCTTACTCTGAAGCAGGAGAAACGACTGAAGAAGTTCGAGACACTTTTGGCGGGAGAGAAGAGGAATAAGATAGAGCTGGATCCCAAGTGAGGGTGTTTAAGATAGAAAATGTTGGGTTGAGAAGCCATGAGTCTACAAGTCACATTGGTGATTTTAGTAGAATGTTGGAAAATGTTGACAATTCCATCTTCACATCCGTGAAGGACAGTGATTTGCGATTGGAAGGGTCAAGGTCAGTGAGCCAACTATTTCAGGGATCAGACTTTTTTTCTGAAATGTTGTCCGAGTGTGCGGAGGATCCTTCCATAGAACCTAGTCTAGAGTGGTTTCGTGGAAAAGCCACATTTTTGTGATGAAAGATCACTGGGAGCCGCTAAAGGAGCAGAGTTCAGTCACGATGCAAAGGCTATGGATTTCCATTGTCGGTTCAATTCTGATGAGCCTATTCTCTTTTTTTAAGTTTTTTTTTTTTTTTTTTTTTTTTTTAAGCCTTAGTTGTCTACTAGAGGGGGTGATACAAGCATCCGTCGCTAGTAGTAGCCTCTGGCTGTTCTCTCTCAGACTCGGTTTTTGAAAGATGAACGTTGTCCGTCTGCACCTGTCTCGGCCTTGCCTGGGTGTAGTGAATGTCCTGAACCAGCTATGTCATCAGAATCTCTGGGGCATACTAACGGGTTACTAAAGGGCATAATTTGAGCCCTATGCAGTTAGATCAAAGGAGATGGACGTAGGAGCTACGAATG